TTTTTTTTGAGTAAATAAAAATAAAGGAAATGGAAAACAATTCCCTGAACATAACAGATCATAGAATCATGATGATAAGATTTAAATTTGGATTTGCATGGCATGAAGATGGTCAATAAATATTTAACTAAAAAAATTAAAGAAGAGCAATCAAAATTGAATTATTGGGTTCACCAAAAAAAAAAAATTGAATTATTGGGGGAAAATACAAAAGAACGTCAAACCTGGGTTGTCCAGGCACGCAGCCACGGCCTCAGCCCAGTGGTTTCCAAAGCAGTTCAAACATTGCTTTTACTTGCAGTCACGTGTTGAAATTTTAAAGCATTGCATTCTGTCAAATGTCGACTACATGCACTGCTGACTAGCCTGGAGTCTTCAAAGCTCAAATTGTGAAGCTGTCAGCTAGGGTATCATATCATATCAGTGGCTGCACACCGCTGTTCTTTCACAAGCCAAGATTTTTGTCCCAAATCTTGAATCTTTATCACCATGGTAGCCAAGAGCAATAGCCTGCTTGTTTTATTGGTCACTGTGCTAAGCTGCAGCTTCAGCTTGGTGAGGTTTGCAGAGTCCAAGGTGCCCCAAGATGAAAGTAAGAGCTAATACCTTACTCTATTGCTTAGAACTTCAATTGGGTTGCTGAAAGTTTGAATCTTGAGATGTTGTTGCACTCTGTATCAGCACAAATGTTCGCATACTACACACAGGAACACACTTACTTTTTGTTCTTTTGTAATCAGAATCAACCATTTTTGTTTATTTTCTTCTTAGATTTTCTCAGTGAACAAATGGATAATTGGCCCTCTCTTCTCTTAACTAACTGCTTTTGAGTTCTTGACTTGCGCATTAAGTTCTGGTATTTTGGGACTGGTTCTAATAAGTCTCCTTTAGAGGTATCTGCAATGTTAATTGGAGTGTAGCCACCGAATTTTGACAAGGTCATTGGTTTTTCAAGGGATTTCTCTTACCTTGAGCATTCAGTTTTTCAGTTTTTTGCATGGTCAGTTTAATTTCCTTTTATGTGATGTTCAAATGTCAATTCGAACCAGTTTAATTTCCTTTTATGTGATGGTCGGTTTAATTTCCCTCTTCTGGTTTCCAAATACAACCAAACATTGCTTTTTGAAAGAGGAGAGACTAATTAAATTATTTGCCAATCTCTGTATATAACAAATTGATTATTTCCTTGAATCCATATATTGATTATGTGACGGTTGTTTCATGATGGATAGTTGATGCTCTCCAAGAAATAACTAGTACGATGGGTGCAAAGTTTTGGAAGTTTAATGGTGATTCTTGCAAAATTGAAATGGTTGGGGTAACAGCAGATCCGCCAAAAGGATCTGAGGGTAACATTACTTGTGACTGCAACAACACTGTCTGTCACGTCGTAACGCTGTACGGTTCCCTCATCTTATTACTACATAATTTTGTACATCTTTTTGAATGACAGTACTTGTGACTGCAACAACACTGTCTGTCACGTCGTAACGCTGTACGGTTCCCTCATCTTATTACTACATAATTTTGTACATGATTATGTACATCTTTTTGAATGACAAGGGTTGTCATTTGTTTTTATATTTATTTAGCAGGAAAAAAGGAAAGAAAATAAAAGAAGAGAGGGTTTTATGCCTGATATCTATATATTTAGGGTAAACTATACTAACCTCACCTGGGGCTAGGTGAAGTACAAGAATCCTCCTTGCATTGCTAGAACTTACTTTGACTGTCCTTGTCTAATAGGTGCTAGAAGAAGTTTTGATATCAGAGGATGGGGTAGGTGCCAAAGATGGTTGGGCTTTGGAGGTAGATGTTCTCAGTTTTGCACCTAATGTTAAAATTACGGACGGTTATCTTGATGTTCTTCACGTTAATCTCCAGGAGGTTAGTGTAGTGTGCCCCAGATTATTATTGCTGTAGGAAGGTTTTTTCACAGACAGAGCGTAACTCTAATTCTTAATCCATTAGTTCTAATTGAAGATCCACTAATCATTAATTTCCAAGCAACCTCTGTTATGATTATTCTGTTTTCTTACAACATTACTCTCTGCTTAGCACTCGAATTTATAATTTTCGATCTGACAGAGCTCTCAAGGGTTATAGTCTACCTGGCATGCTTCCACCTCAACTGGTCAAACTTCCTTACCTTAAAGAAATGTAAGATCATTTTGTATTCAAGAATAATGACTGATGATTTTGTTCTATAAAATTTATTTCTACTGAAATGCACTTTACATTTTTATCCTTCTTGTTTGTGTAGTGATTTATCGCTCAATTATCTTAATGGTACAATACCAGGAGAATGGGGTGCAATGCAATTAACAAGAATGTGAGCTCTTCTCAGCTCTTGTGATTATATTGTTGATTTCATAGTTCGTGTGGTAAATTAATTAGAAAATCTATGCAGCTCTCTTCTTGTAAATCGCTTATCAGGGGAGATTCCAAAGGAGTTGGGAAATATTACTACTCTCACATACCTGTAAGTGTTAAAATTATGGTTTGTCTTGCCTATTTATCAGTTGGGTCATGGAATTATGGTATGATTGAGGAAATATGTGAAACAAGATTGGCAGGGTCTTATCCCTTCTCCTTGGATCGCCTTCTGCTACTACTTAACAAGCTTGAAAACTTTTTTATATTTGCATCCATTGTGGGGAATCAGTTTTTTCGCTCCTCCACTGTGATTCTGTCATTCTCTCAAATCTCAATATTATTTCCTTTTTCTTTTTCAAACAATCAGGACTCTTGAAGCAAATCAGTTCTCTGGAGTTGTTCCTCCTGAGCTTGGGAATTTAATCAACTTGGGAACTCTGTAATGCAATTTTCTTTCGGGAAATTTTGATTCTTGATTTTTCTCTACACTATAAGCATATTTGGGAATGATGAATGATAGGTAAAAATTGATGGCTCATTGCTTTGGTATTGAAATTGCAGGATGTTGTCCTCCAATCGTTTGACCGGAAAGTTACCAGTGGCATTGGCTAGGCTAAGAAATTTAACAGACTTGTAAGTTTTAAATGTACTTGTTTTTTTTTATTATTGTAATGCATAAAACAAGTTTACATGTCAAATTGATTCCATACTCCTGTCTAATGCAGTAGAATAAACGATAATAACTTCAATGGAACGATACCTGATTTCATACAGAATTGGGAAAAACTTAAGAGATTGTAAGATATTTTTTTCTTTTCACGAAATTTCGACCTACATTTCAAGTTATTATAGATGACAAAATTATTTCATTCTTATTTATTTCTATTTTTAATTTTTTTTTTCTTATAAATGTATATTTGGATGATTGAAGAGAAATGCATGCAAGTGGGCTTCAGGGACCCATCCCCTCCAACATATCTCTTTTGAGTAATTTACAAGAGTTGTGAGTAAAATGCCTTTTCAAGTTTTCTTTGCAGCTGTATGTATTTTTTTCTTTTCACGAAATTTCGACCTACATTTCAAGTTATTATAGATGACAAAATTATTTCATTCTTATTTATTTCTATTTTTTATTATTTTTTCTTATAAATGTATATTTGGATGATTGAAGAGAAATGCATGCAAGTGGGCTTCAGGGACCCATCCCCTCCAACATATCTCTTTTGAGTAATTTACAAGAGTTGTGAGTAAAATGCCTTTTCAAGTTTTCTTTGCAGCTGTATGTATTTATTAGATTACTTGTCCTTTTTTTTAGGCTTTTCATTTGTGGTTCCATATCTATATATAGGAGGATTAGCGATATAAAGGGGCCACAGCAGGGTTTTCCTACGTTGACAAAGATGACAGGCCTAGTGAGATTGTACGTTGAGTATTTGATCATCAAATATTCTGAAGGCATTATTATTTATATTTTACTTTTGATGGTGGTTTGTCTAATGCTATTCAGTTATGTATTTTAGGGTTCTCAGAAACTGCAACATTTCTGGAGAGATTCCTCCATACATCTGGACGATACAAAACCTGGAAATGTTGTAAGTAAACCTTGTGAAGTAGGATACGGATTGTATTGTTGTATTATGACTGTGAATGCAGGTTGATTATATCTTTTGTATTGTGATTGTGATAGGGACGTCAGTTTTAACAAGTTAGTAGGGGAAGTTCCAGACACTATAAACTTAGAGCGTTTGAGATTCCTGTAAGTATAACCTTGTGATTCATTTAATTATGGCGCATTCAGATTGGAAGTATGGTAATTTACTTATGCCTTTAATTATAAACTACAAAGGTCCATTGCTTGTGATTCTTCTTCCCTAAAAGTTTCTGGGAAATGCTGGGCATATTACTGGATAAAGAAGGGACTAAATTTCTGTGACACAAAAACATGGGCATGCGAATGCCATTTTTTAATTATATTGGGATAGAAAAGCAAGCTTATATCTTTAGGTTGGTGTGTGCTTAATTCCCCTCAAACAAACCCCCCCCCCCCCTTTTCTCCTTTTTTTAAAATAATCTAGTATTGAATATTGATGTAGCATTCTGAAAAATCTTATATTTCTTTCTATAGGATTTTAACTGGAAACTCTCTGAGTGGAAGTGTACCTGGCTCAATCTTCAAGGATGGAAGTAATGTGTATGTGTAATTCTTATCTTCGATTCTTCATATTATTTATTTTTTTCTTTTGATATAATTGCAATTTACCTTTTCCTTGTATGCTTCCCATGTGTATCCAAGATCTGTCTCATGTATATTTTAGTAATAAAAATGGAATTCTGGAAGCTAACAATTTGAGGATCAGTACAATGGACACACACCTTTTCTGGCTTATGTTTGTTTCTCCCTAAAGAGAGTGACCTTTCCTGCATGCAGTGATCTTTCATACAATAACTTTACATGGCAAGGCCCTGAGCAACATACTTGTCAGGACAACATGTGAGAATACTGTTCTAGTAGTTATTCATGTATTATGCCGTTTTTATATGGATAGAAACTAATGGTTGTTTCCCCTTTTTTCTTTTTTAATAGCAATCTAAACCTGAACTTGTTTCGAAGCTCTTCAACAGAGAATAACTTGTAAGATTGTCTTTCTCTGTCTTGCTTTCTTTTACAGTGAGAAAAGATGTTCATATATAGACATGGCATACATTCCATGTTAATATATGTTTTTCACTCAATTATGACAGAAGGAGAGGTCTTCCATGCTTGAAGGATCTCAACTGCCCACGCTGTAAGGATATATTCTAATTGGCTGAAATAATATGTGGTGTAATCTCCTTTATTTTTTTTCTTTTAGAGAAAATGCATGTTTCAGTTAGTTTGATCATGAAGCAATATCAGCTTGTTGCAGAAGAAGATTGTAAATGATAAAGATTGCTACACCCAAAAAAGTAAATTCTTCTGATTTTAAAGTCTTTGTTTCAGAGATAAAATACAATGAAAAAGAATTTGAGTGAAGTTTGAAACTCGCTCTGCCTGAAAATGTTCAGAGAGAATACCATGATATTCAAAAGTTTTATATCTGAATACTATTGTTAATTAGTAATTGTTGCTTTCATATTCTCTCACTTATATTTTTATTTTAATCCATTATTCCAGATTCAACTTGTTTACATGTTAATTGTGGTGGAAATGACGTCACCATCAAAGAAAATAATGGAAACATTGTGTATGAAGGAGACGGAGGAGTTGAAGGTGGCGCTGCAGAGTATTCCTTTAATGGTGATTATTTTTGGGGATTTAGTAGCACTGGAGACTTCATGGATGACAATGA